AGGACATTTCATGTCCCCCATATAAAAAATCTAATAATCCATGCCCAAAATGCTAAAACATGCACTTGTTGTGTTAAACATACTTGTCTTGAGACAAAATGTGTATAAAATTGTAGAAAAAGTGGTTTCAAAATATTATTTAAATTATCAAATAGCTCTCGAACATCCCCTAAAATGGCATTTTTCTCTTGTCCCCGCTTCTTGGTGACCAACTTGCATGTCAAATATAACATTTAAAATAGGGATTTTATTTACTTTTTTTGGTATTATTCTATTGATATATGTCTCTTGTAATGGTAAAATCTATTTGTTAAATCATAAACATATTTTAAATAACAGTAATTTTGCACAGAAGGTGTGTCCCTCAACATGCGTTCAACCCTGTTACCCAAACCTTTTTAGATTGGCACAGGAAGTGAAAAAACTGTAAATCAGATGACACAGTGGAAGTGACATCAGCAAGCCATGTGCTAGTGCCATGGGTAGACCAAAACTAAGTCCTCTCTTTTATTTTTCATATTTTTACAATCTTTTCAGNCTGCTCTAGAAGAATACGAATACAATTACCTCAAAATATGTAGTTCTTAAACAGACGATCTGCTGCCCAGTGCTGCTAACCTGCGCCTCTCACATCCGCTGCTACTCACCTAAATAGCGCGACTTTGATGCACTCATAATTCAGCCAAGATCGCAGTACTGGACCCGCCCAGCCGCCCAAAATCTGAACTGACAGCGAGAAGACTAAAAAAATGGATATACGCAGTTCTTTCGCCAACCAAAACAACTTCCAGATCAGTTTCGCTGATTCAGAAGTTCATGCGCCACGGTTGCTGGCCACCCAGGCACTTGCAACCTCTGCTCCGCGACTACCTGCCCACAATGAGTTCCCGCTCGACCACGTCTGATCGACTCAGACCTATCACAACATCGTATGGCCGGGGGAAAATCACCACCGTCCGAGACACCGGCAAGCATCCCCGCCCGACGTTGCCAATCCCTGCTGAGTACAGCCTCTTGATGGCGGTCAATTTTCCATGTGACCTTAGAGATAAAAAGTGTGGGGGCCCCAAACCGGGCCAGTGCTTCCCGTTTTCCCAAGACACAAATTGGAGATAGAAATCTTCTTTTGCTGCATTTTCTTTTATTAACAAGCGATCCGTGGGCTGGAGCTACTCTGTTTCAGGGACGCAGTGTTTTTGTTCTTTGGTTGGCGCCACTTTTCCAAAGGAGATTGGAAGAGGAGAAAGAAGACACACTTAGCTAAAACAAGGCGGCGTCGGATATTGGAGTAGCTTACTACTGAGGGCTGTATTAAAAGCCATAGCTCCTTTGGGAAAAACACAATGGCCTGCATGAGGAACTGTGGGAGGGCTACACATACAGGAAACTGAAAAGCATGGATCTGTCAGAGGTCCATTGTCACCGAGTCACCAGAACACAGTGCGATAAAAACAGGGGAGTATGTGACAAAGGTCGGTGGATGATTGTCGGTTAGCTGCTGTCCTCAACTGGCCTCCCTTTCCGTGGACATCGGGAAATTACATGGAGATAAAAGGAACTTACAAGAAAATAAATGAATAAAAAAAAGCACACAACAATAGTGCCTAGCTACAGTCGATACAGGAAAACAGATAAAAAGCAAGCCGCGGAATGATGATGATGAATGAACAAAGGAAACTTTTGAGTCTGTGCGACTTCCTCTGCAAGTATGACCCAAGTTTCGCGCAAATGCAGGGATGAGAAGTACTTTAATTGTACAAGTCCAGATTTTCAAAACGACGAGGGTCATCTCTTTGTGTGGCCAGAGCTAGTCAGAGAGGAAATAGCAATGCGGCGCGTGAGACTGGTTTTTTCACGGTTATCGCGGTGATGAGGCCAAATCATTCAAAGTCTGAACAACTGTCTGTGTGTATCAGATTATGCAGAAAAGCTACAGGTTAAGGGAGCGATTAAATCTGCTTCATTAACTGCTCTGCCTCCCCCGAAGATTGCTGCTTCGTGCTATGCTCCGAATTGAGATTGAGTTATCAAGAAGGGGTTGGAGTCATGTGGAACTGCAGGACGTTCTCCAATAGTCGCACAGTCGTATGATGGGGCCTCAGTTATGTCTGCGCATTTAACTGGAGTGCAGCAGCGTATCATCAGGAGAATTACCCTTTTGCCATCTACGTACACTGCATGGCGCCAATAAACTGTTAAATCTGGTCGCTGGTGGAATCATGCACAGTCAACAGAGACATCAAAATGACGTTAAATGTTATTGATAGCCTGTACTCGTGTTTTCATGACAACCAAGCACCAACCCACAGGGTTTCTGGCGATGCAGAAACAACACTCGAGGATGAAGGCAAAGGAAATTGGGCAACCCAGTCTGACACGCGTTGTGTGCGAGCAAATGGCGATGCGTCTTTGCGGTTTAAATCACATTATGTGCCTATCACACGCTGTCTGTTAAGGAGATGGTGGGATGAAGGAGAGAAATGGTCAGTGGAAGCAAGTGGGTTTGTATAATCACATGATGCGACACCCCTGGCTCATCGCCTGCCCATTATCCTTTGAGGACCTACTGCGGGTTGTGCCACGTGTTGTTCACAAGAAACTTCAGTCCAATCCACAAACACTTGCAGATGCTGCCTCCACGATCAACAGTCTGAGAGCACACTTGAGGGAACGCAGAGGAGAGGAGGAAGAGGTTGGCAAGGGACCATATGGAGCCAGATCCAAGCAGTTTGGCGAGGGACGTCGCATGCCCAGTTGCCACTGCAGAAAGTGACCCCCCCTCCATGGCAAGCGAAAAGAGTTCAAGACCCTTTGTTCGCTTTACCAAGTATGTAGTGGGGGCCACACTTGGGCAGCCGCCAACGAGATGAAAGGAATGGAGGAAATAGACGGACAATTTGAGGCTCACGCCATCTACTGTCATTATATCTCCCTGTGCTGGAACAATATGATGGCCGAGTTGGACAGACGGTTTTCAGGTGAAGCCATGGAGCTTGCAGCGGCATGTGATGCTGTGATAAATGTGAGAAGAAAGGCATTGAACCATTTCTGGAGAAAAATATGCAAGCCTCAAGATCGTCCATCCACAGCTGGTGACAGCAGAAATGGACCTGATAAATGTGCTGTCCAATCTCCCATTAACCTGAAGGACCTGCAAAACGAAGTGAGCAAGGGAGAGCTATCCCAAACTTCTTCCCATTACTCCAGCTTGCACTGACACTGCCCATTGGATCAGCGACATCAGAGAGAAGTTTCTCAGCAATGAGGAGGATCAGAAACTGGCTGAGAACTACAATGATCCAGGAGAGATTTTCTGATCTGGCCCTGCTGCACATTGAGGGAGATTTGACTGCAAAACTGTCAGTTGAGAAGATAGTGGACATCTATGCCAGCCGGAAAAAGAGGCGCCTGATGCTGCACTAGGTAAGCCATTCATTCAAATTATTTCGTTTTGTTGAGCTTAAATGCGTAATTGCGCAGCATCTGCATCCGGGGATAGCCAGCTGTAGTAAGCAGCAGACACCGCTCCACGCTCAAACCAAAATCCTCCAAATCCTCCCGTTTGCGTTGTGCTCACATGCTTCGGTCCTGCTAGCGGCCGCTGCTGACAGTTGTGGGGCAGAGACGCTGAATGCATGGAGATCATAATCACTAGATGACGGTGAACAAAAGTCATTACTTTGTTGGTTTGCTTTGTTTTCATCGCTGAAATTAGGTCAAAATGTGATAAAACTGCTGTGCTTATATCCTACAGTTATTAGTTAGTATGCCTATACAGTTCATTAAAAAGTGTGTGAGCATTGGGGAACATTGATCCTACAGACCTCTGTGTTATAGCCTAATTATAGCAGCAGTATGTGCCGCAGCAGCCGTTTTATTTTGCGGCGAGTTCCGCTGCCATAGTAATTTCATCTATTGGGCATATTAGTTATGAAAACACACCTGCAGTAGCCTGTAGGCTATCCTGATCAATTTTCATGTATGAATCCTTGTGTTGCAGCCTATAGCTATACATTACATTTGTAGTTATTTTTTGGCACCCCCAACCTTAAAGTTCAAACTTCGCCCATGCTCAACATGCGTTCAACCCTGTTACCCAAACCTTTTTAGATTGGCACAGGAAGTGAAAAAACTGTAAATCAGATGACACAGTGGAAGTGACATCAGCAAGCCATGTGCTAGTGCCATGGGTAGACCAAAACTAAGTCCTCTCTTTTATTTTTCATATTTTTACAATCTTTTCAGTCGTAAAAGAGTGTGGCACTCTGACCCACTCAACCCTGTTACTGATATTACCAGAATAAAGCATATTAATTTCAAAGTTATCTTTCTTGCATTAGATATCCAAGTTTGTCATTGCCTTGGAAAGTAGCATTACATGCTACATCTAGCAATAATTCCTGAGGTTAAAGGCTCAAATTAGCATTGATTTTCAACCCTGTTACTTTCAACCCTGTTACTATAATTAGAGTAACAGGGGTAATTCTTCATTGGAAAATATACATTTGATGCCAAGCTGGGCAAATCACTTTTTTTTATGGTTTATTATCTGTTTTTCCAAAATACATAAAAAAACATTATAAAATAAAAGGTTAATTTTTCAAAAATGGTAGTGTCTAAATTGTCCTCCAATTCGTAGCGTAGAACATGTGTTGGTAAATATGTTACTTTGTTACATTTGTTTGTCATCACCAAGAATGTGTTCCGTGAAAGTAAAGCAAGTTCATAATTAGATAGACATCGTGAGGTATTTATTTTCGGTACAGTTTATGTTGAAACCGTTAGAGAAAGTGGCACACTTGTTAGCCTGTTCCATTCTTCTTCGTTTTCCGAAGCCGTGGCTTGGAAGTATACTTGCTTCGTTTCTGAAGGAAGTGACTTGGAAGTACGCGACTACCAAGCCAGTATCCTCGAGATTGAGAAACGGCCTCTCTCTGCTGCATATTAACACCGAGAAGAAGAAAAGAGGGCGGGAGCCATAGTGACGTATTTCCGGTAACATGTCAGCCTTCTGCTGAAACCTCATGGCTAAAGCTGCCGCATTTAAATCTATGTTTGTTCTCGTTACAGTTTTAATGATATCGTTTTAATGAGACAACACTAAGAGAGGTTTGTTGTGTTTTTATTTCTAACATATTAGCGTTGTGTGTGAAACGCAAGATGACGAAAGGCTGTTAGTACCAGCAACATGTATGTTGGCTTGTGTTAGATGCTATCCTCAAGTCAAAGAAAACAGACCTAATGTTTAAATGCAGTCTATCCCAAACTAACGGATATTTACTGAATGAGAGTGCAGTTCACATGGCAGTAAAGATTGTGAATAAACCTTTGACTTGACTGTTTACTTAAAGTGTTAATACAGAGAAGTGTTTCTATTTGAATGGTTAGTTACAGTAAATGATGTGGGCATAATCCACTAACTACCCAAACACTTGTAGTACATTACATTATGAGGTTCTAAACCTATTCAAGTTCAAATACTTAAACCACAGTGAAAAATACCTCATGACACGTAAAAGTTCTGCATTTAAAACCTACCTAAAGTAAAAGTATGTTGTTGCTATTATTATCAGGAAAAGGTACTTAAAGTATGATAAGTAAAAGTAACTTAAGTCATTCTGTAATAAAATGATCCAGTATGATGTTGGAATAATATCAAGGTTCAATGTGTTTATGGCATTTTACTGCTGCAGATGCTTTAGGTTGCACCAAATTAAATTTTTGTATTTTTTAACTTTTTAACTTTGTATTGCTATTTTATTTGTATTTCTGAAATATATTGGACTGTTTATTAAAGTGTCTTAATTTCTCTTATGTACATTGCCTTGTGTTTTTTATGCTGCTGCAACGCAAACATTTCCCAAATTGGAATCAATAAAGTACCTATCTATCTATATACCGTTTCGTAGTTTAATCTTCAGCAATGTATTATACTCTGTTAAGTTCATTTAAGTATGTAAAGCACTGTCCTGTGAGGAACACATATCTAAAACTCCTCAAACAAACCTTCCTTTCTACAGATGGCAGGAGTTGTACCAGAGAAAAGTCGTGCCTTGAAGTTTGCAGAGAAGCAACTCCTGCGTCATGGCTGGGAACAGGGTAAGATACTCTGATCTCTTTTGTGTAACCTCTGAAAAATGTCAGACAGGTGGAGATTTCTAATTCAGTCCACTCTCACGCTCAGGCAAAGGACTGGGGCGAGCTGAGGACGGCATATCAGAAGCTATCAAGGTCAAAATAAAATGTGGCAAAGGAGGGGTGAGTGACATTTAGTTTTATGCAGGGTTTTCTCTCATCACTTTCAACGGTGTGCTCCATGTTGTAGACTCACACGGTGCTCTTTTCTACCAGGTTGGTCATAAGGAAGGGGACGAGTTCACCTTCCACTGGTGGGATCATGTCTTCAATAAAGCCTCTGCCAGCCTGCAGGTGGAGTCTGATCAGGTGAGTCCTACTTCACATCATATTTTATTTTATATGTTGCATTGTTGGAGGAGCTCAGGTCAGAATCATTTCATTGCCATTTCTACACTGTAGCTTTGTATATGACAATAAAACCTTTGGATCTTGAACAAATGCAATCAACAATCACCTGTACGCAGAACAACATGAAGGGACATTTTAACCTAAAGGAAGTGCGTGAAGTAGTCTTGGTATATTTATTTATTCAAGTGAATTGTCAGCTTTTGTAATTATACCTTGATGACACAATTACAAATAAGGCCAGGACGCGTCTATCGTTTTTCC